ACATACATACATACATACATACATACATACATACATACATACATACATACATACATACATACATACATACATACACACATACAAACATACAAACATACAAACATAAATGCATACGTATGTATACACATATGTGTGTTTATGGTGTGTCTGTGTGTGTTTGTATGCATGTATCTGTGAGTCTACGTGTTTGTACGTGCGTTTGAGTACGAATATCCACAAAAATCACACACAGTGACAGGCAAAACACAGATGCTGCTTCCACTTCCGGTAACCTTAAAGTAATGAACATTCCGACTACAAAGAACTACAAAAAACGCCTCTAATGCTCGCTCGATACATACACTCACCTCGCTATCCCAAGATACGCAGACCAATACAATGAAACGTTTGGGTACAGATACAGTATGTATATGTGTATATATATACATATATATGCTTGTTTATGTGTAGTGTAAGTGTGAGGACCTTAATGCGTGCCGTATGCGTATGTCATTTAGAAAATAAAACGTATTTATATCCATTTTTTTATATATATGTTGTTTTTTGTTGTTGTTTTTTTCCTTTTCTCCGTTTATCTCGTAATTTAGGTTCGTTAGTGTTACTGTATGCTAATTGACGATGTAAATATAGTTGAGAGAGAGAGAGAGAGAGGAGAAGGGAAGAGAGAATTGTCTTTGTACTAATATACATATACATACGTATACACAAAAATATATATATATAGAGAGAGAGGGAGAGAGAGAGAGGGAGAGAGAGAGAGAGAGAGAGAGAGAGAGAGAGAGGGAGAGAGAGAGAGAGAGAGAGAGAGAGAGAGAGAGAGAGAGAGAGAGAGAGAGAGAGAGAGAGAGAGAGAGAGAGAGAGAGATGGAGAGAGAGAGAGAGAGAGGGAGGGAGGGAGAGAGAGAGAGAGAGAAAGAGAAAGAGAAAGAGAAAGAGAAAGAGAAAGAGAAAGAGAAAGAGAGAGAGAAAGAGAGAGAGAAAGAGAGAGAGAGAAAGAGAGAGAGAAAGAGAGAGACAGAAAGAGAGAGAGAGAAAGAGAAAGAGAAAGAGAGAGAGAGAGAGAGAGAGAAAGCACAAACTGAAGAATGTATTGGGAAAAGAGATAGGTAGAAAGGGAAATCCCCTGACATACCGGAGGCGAGCGACAGGTAGGGGAAGCATCGTCAGGCAACCATAGACTGACCTGGGAGTTCCCCCAACTACGCTCACTCAAAACTGGCTCTCGCTCCCACGCTCACACTGATACGCACATACATATACACAAACGCACGCACACAGACACGCATGTAAATATGAGTACATCTTCAAAATTATACATATTCGCACATACATATACCCAAACGCACACACACATGCAAATATGAGTACATCTTAATATTTATACATATACGCACATACATATAAACAAACGCACGCTCACACACACACACATGTAAATTTGAGTACATCTTAAAATTACACATATAAGCACATACATATACCCAAAGCGCACACACACACGCATGTAAATATGAGTACATCTTAAAATGTATACATATACGCACATACCAATACACACAAACGCACGCACACACACGCATGTAAATATGAGTACATCTTAAAATTTATACATATACGCACATACATATACTCAAAACGCACACACACATATGCAAATTTGAGTACATCTTAAGATTTATACATATACGCACATACATATACCCAAACGCACACACACACACACACACGCATGTAAATATGAGTACATCTTCAAATTTATACATATTCGCACATACATATATCCAAACCCACACACACACGCATGTAAATATAAGTATATCTTCAAATTTATACATATACGCACATACATATACCCAAACGCACACACACATGCAAATATGAGTACATCTTAAGATTTATACATATACGCACATACATATACTCAAAACGCACACACACGCATGTAAATATGAGTACATCTTCAAATTTATGCATATACGCACATACATATACCCAAACGTACACACACACACATGTAAATATGAGTACATCTTCAAATTTATACATATACGCTGTAAATATGAGTACATCTTAAATGTATACATATACGCACATACCAATACACACAAACGCACGCACACACACACATGCAAATTTGAGTACATCTTAAGATTTATACATATACGCACATACATATACCCAAACGCACACACACACACACACACACGCATGTAAATATGAGTACATCTTAAAATTTATACATATACGCACATACATATACTCAAAACGAACACACACGCATGTAAATATGAGTACATCTTCAAATCTATACATATTCGCACATACATATATCCAAACGCACACACACACGCATGTAAATATAAGTATATCTTCAAATTTATACATATACGCACATACATATACCCAAACGCACACACACATGCAAATATGAGTACATCTCAAGATTTATACATATACGCACATACATATACTCAAAACGCACACACATGCATGTAAATATGAGTACATCTTCAAATTTATGCATATACGCACATACATATACCCAAACGTACACATACACATGTAAATATGAGTACATCTTCAAATTTATACATATACGCAGATACATATACCCAAAACGCACACACACACGCATGTAAATATGAGTACATCTTAAAATGTATACATATACGCACATACCAATACACAAACGCACACACACGCACGTAAATATGCGTGTAAATTAAAACACACGCAAATATACAATAGTCCCCTAAACATATATACGCCGATGTATGTGTATTTATATGTATTTGTTTCCATTTAACTATGCTTATGTATTGCTGTTAAAAATCATATCTTTGTTCTAAGACTTTGTTCTAAGGTTGAGTTTTAGTTAACAGATTGTTCAAGAGGGAAAAAGTAATATAGATGATGTCATGTTGAGGTTGTTATGCAGTTCTATTTTAGTTGTTGTTGTTTTTTTAGTTGTTGTTTTATTTTATTTTCTTGCTCGATCTATTGTTTTACACTCATATCTCCTGTTCGATCTGTCTGTATGTATACATGTATGTGTGCTTGTGTGTATACATGCGTGAACCGGATTGGAAATCAACAAAAGCACAAAAGATTAGAATGTAACATGGTAAACAGTAATCAACATGATTCGAATGCATTATTTGCAATTGCCGTTATAGAGTGCATGCAAAGGCTATTCTTGCTATGTTGTTCTGGTCTGTTGTTGATTTGTTGTCGTTGTCGCTGTTGTTGTCGTTGTTGTTATCGTTGTTGTTGTCGTTGTTGTTGTTGTTGTCGTTGTTGTTGTCGTTGTTGTTGTTGTTGTTGTCGTTGTTGTTGTCGTTGTCGTTGTTGTTGTCGTTGTTGTTGTTGTCGTTGTTGTTGTTGTCGTTTTTGTTGCTGTTGTTGTTGTTGTTGCTGTTGTTGTCGTTGTTGTTGTTGTCGTTGTTGTTGTTGTCGTTGTTGTTGTTGTCGTTGTGTTGTTGTCGTTGTAGTTGTTTTTGTTGTTGTTGCTGTTGTTGCTGTTGTTGTTGTTGTTGCTGTTGTCCTCTTAACTTTCTGTCTTTCTGTCTTTCTTTTTTGTGCTGTTAAAACGAAGCGATAATTCTATGACGTCATTATTTGTTTATCGTTATGAGTCGATTGCATTTATATATAAATATATTTATATATATGTGTGTGTGTGTGTGTGTGTGTGTGTGTGTGTGTGTGTGTGTGTGTGTGTGTGTGTGTGTGTGTGCATGTGCGTGTGTATGTGTGCGTGTGTGTGTACATGTGCGTGTGTGTGTGTGTGTGTGTGTGTGCGTGTACATGTGCGTGTGTATGTGTGCGTGTGTGTATAGGAACGAAAATCATTATGTATCATTAACCCAATCCGACTGTTTCTCTTCTCTTTTCTTTCTCTCCGTCTTATCCTTCCACGAAAGACGAACATCGCCGATAATTGAATAATCGGCGTGACAAAAGGTAATCGAAATCCCGGCTATATTTCACATGTATGTCCCCCCTTTCTTGATGACGTCAGCAACATATGACGTCATATCCTTTTTTTTAAGTTTTATCGTTTTTTATGGTAATTCCTGAAGTTGGTGGAGTGTGTAATTTTCATTATATAGATACATATATATATATATATATATATATATATATATATATATGTATATATATGTGTGTGTGTGTGTGTGTGTGTGTGTGTGTGTGTGTGTGTGTGTGTGTGGGACATTGTTTTTTATCTCTCTTTTTTCTGTCTGTCTGTATGTATATGCATGTCTGTATGTCTTCCTGTCTGTCTGTTTGTCTGTATACATGTCTGTATGTCTTCTTGTCTGTCTGCATGTCTGTATGTTTTCTTGTCTGTATGTCTGTATGTCTTCCTGTCTGTATGTATGTCTTCCTGTCTGTATGTCTGTATGTTTGTCTGTCTGTCTGTTTCTCACTCTCTCTCTCTCTATCTATCTATCTATCTGTGTGTGTGTGTGTGTGTGTGTGTGTGTGTGTGTGTGTGTGTGTGTGTGTGTGTGTGTGTGTGTGTGTGTGTGTGGTGCAGCGGTAGCGATCTCGTCTAGCAATCTTGCTGACCTGCGTTCAAATCCCTCGCCGCCAGTGGATGGTAACCCCGGCCATTCCTTGCAAACAGGGGATAATTTAGAAGCAAAATGAAACAGACCGTAATCACACCAGTTGCAACAAATGGAATTAAATTAAACTTAAACTCTCTTTCTCTGTTCATTTATCTATCATACTGATATCTCTTATATTTCTATAAACTGGAAACTTGCTTACCCATATTACAAAAAGGGATGGGGGGGGGGGGGGCACGGAAATGTTTCTTATAACAAGGAAAATATTTATTTGGATTAATTACTAAGTCGACAATTAAACGCTTCCTCTGTCTCGGTGGACCACCTGGAAACTCCGTTGATGTAAACAAACGCGGCGGCGTCACAGCTGCAGGGACGTAAAACCTCGGCGTGGAGTCGGGCGCGCGGCAGTGTGACGCGAGC